AGGTGCGTTCTACATGGTCTCCCTGAAAACAAGACCAAGTTGCGACAACGAGGTCAACCCACTTCTATCGCATATTTTCGTTGGATATCTTATGCTTTGCCTAAAGGTTTGCTCAAAATTTAAGTTAAATGGATGCAGATAAAGAGTGAAATGGGTGCAATTGCGACAGAGCAGCTGAATCCTCCTCTAAAATGCTTATACCTCTGATGCTGCAATGTTACCACATGTGACTGCATCCCATTGCATACGTATTGTGTTAATGCATTGCTCCCGAAATAAGTGTAATGTGAGAGTCAAAACGAGATTTGAGCCTAATCAAGCCTCAATCTCTCTCTATAATCATATCCAACAGCCACAGGTAGTTTATTCCACTTAAATATGAAGAGAAGCTGGGTTTCGAAGTATCCCTTAATATATTGATACTGGCGCACCTTCTTCTTCACACAATCCAGCAGTCACAACTTCAAGCCATTTCTCATTCGTTTTCCACTAACCTATGCCAATACCAATCTTGTAGGGGATTCTTCGAAACCTAGCATTCACAGACGTCTCGCTGAAATCATAGTTGCTTACATAGTCAGCTACTTCAGTCAAATACCGTATGTTAACGAGCTATAATTTTTTGCTCAGGTTGATACTGTCAGCGGATGATGTTGACGACTAGGGTGCATGCGAACCGTCTTAAAATACATATAGACTTCGATCTGGTGCTAAAAGATGTCATTCCCACAATTACGCTTGACTTATTACTTGGTACGTCCCTCACAGGGATTATGGAATCACAGCGAACTTTCAAAAGGGAGTTCGGACCAATTCTATACTGCGAAATGAGACTACGATTAGATTAATTTCCATTTCATTTTGACTTTTTTATCTCCGACTTTCTTTTTTTCAGCATGGCTGGACCTTATATATTTTTTAAAGTTGATTTGGCCTTGTTTTTATAAAGTATTTGTGTTTTTAGGTAGGTTACGAAGAACTTTCCTTATGCAACATCCTTTGTTGTGTATCCGAGGTTCTACAAGCGTCGGACTATTGACTTTGTCTTTGACACTTTACCAACATTGCCACTGACCATAATAGTCTTAAGACAAGGCAACAAATCGGCAAAGCGCTACGTAAAGGCAAATACCCTTTACTCTTTTTTGTTGATCGATTATGACACTTCTCCCCCATCTTACTGGTACTTTTCTGGTCTCCTAACGTCGTATCCTTCTTCATTCCGGCCTCATGACCAAGCATCCTCTATTCCGATTGTCAGTTTCATTTCTGGTATATAAATGGTGAGTCTCATCCTTCCTAGGTCCCCAATATCCTATTGTGGACTTCCTGATCAAAATGGCTTTCTCAACAGGCCTCTCCTGGTACTTCCCTTTCTCTTGGTAATCTGTACCTTAGACGTATCTTTATATATGTCTGAAGTAGAGAATGTGCCATTAAGGGCCTGGCTTACTGATTTATTGGCATCCATTGCTTAATCATGGGGGTTCTTTATAACCCTCTGCATTCCTGAGCTTGATCTGACTCAAATGCACACATGTCATTCTAAGCCGTTCTCTTGTCTTGATCGAAGCGGTTTATTTTGAGGTTTAAAAAAGAAAAAAAATGTTCACTTTTATCAGTATCTTGTTTCTGATAGGAATATACATAGGTAGGAGTCTTACCTTTTTTTCGCTTGAAAGATTTGGAAAACCATTTCCCGTCTTGGCATTAAGTCGTCGAAGGCTTCATCAAATTTGTGTGAGTATGAAGTTACACAAAACATTATTCTACTCTTAAGATGTTTTGATCAAAGACGATAGCAAATGTACGCTTATTTGATCTTACGTTCTCACATTAAATGGGGAAGATGAAAAATTTCACATCTCATTGTAACTATCTTAATCCACTTTATCTAAATAAAATCACCCTTTAGCAATAGGCGTATGCTGAGTCGCCTTGACTTTGATTACGGTTTTTTTATTTCGCCTGGCCCAAATTTAGGCATCCCAACTGAACGGTTCTTGTGATAGAGCGCATAATCCCCCGGATGTTCTCGAATCCTCAATGGAAATTGAACGACAATCGGCTCACTTTGCTGGACCGGCAATGCAGAATGAAGTGGAACTACACAATATGAAACTGGATGATATGGAGTTGAAAGGTAGGTAGTGAATAGTCGGTGATACTTCTTTTTAATTCAAATAATTAGTGGTTAGCTTTTCATTTCAATAAAGATAAATTTTTAATATACTTTCGATGCGTTGTATACATCTAGAGCATTGAGATTCTTCTCTTTCAAGAGCTCTTTCCCTTTGTTATCAAATATTTCTATTCAGCAACATTGCCAGCTTTGCACGAAATTTATATCTTCATCACTTATTATTTTGCGTATCACTTGCAATTAGACGAGCCACTTGTATAGAGTCTGTAGTTTCGAACCCTACTTTCAATACGAGTCACTTGTACTTATAGCCTGACCTACTATTCATATTTAACTTCTAAATTATATTTATTTTTTCAGTGCCATTTATTAACCAGATATATGCCACTTGGCTTCGCTATTGAGCACGGATTCTATGCGGTAGCACAGCAAGTACTGTGTACTATGTATCATTTTTCATGTTCGGTTTTTTTCATGGTTTGGATTTTGTTGGTCTGGCTTTCGTCACTTGGTCATGTTTACGGGTCATATTTGATCGTTATATCTGAATTTAGTTTCCTTTATGCTTTTTCGTTTTTTTCACTATCTGATTCGGACTAATTTTATCAACCGGCATCTTCCATATAGTGATCTTAGGCCTAATGGCCCTCCGCAGAATCTTTAAGCCATTTCATTCGCAGGATATTTTCACTTAGATCATTCATCCTTCTCATCTCTATATTCTATCCATTTTCCAATCACATCTGTATATCATTGGATTGATCCGTTGGCCATTTGATCATTCACTCACCCAATAAGTTCTCTAACTGTTATTTGCTGGTTCACTTAAAAAATTAATTGACCAGCGAAAGCTACATCTATTTTACTATATTCCATCTTCCTTTTGGTTCATAAGAGAATAAACTCAATCGCACACTTCCACTCGAAATGAAAGTTAATTTAACATCATTTTTGCCCATTTGTTATTCATTTTGTCTTACCCTCCACTGTCCTATACCACTATAATTTAGTTAACTGCCAAAATTTTCCCGTCTTTTATCTTCCGTACTTTTCTACTGCTATTTCCTTAGATTTCATAAACTTAATTTTTTTGTAAATTGCTTCCATTTATCTATTCATCACTATTATGGTGCAGTGTACTCCTCTTTTGCTGGTGGCTCGGGTATTTCTGACCTAATCTCGATTCCTGGTATCCCACACGGATTAGCTGGTTTAAGAGCTGTCGTCAGGCCGGCGCTTGAGAACGCTTTGGTTGACCGTCTTTGGAAAACAAGAGAAATGGGCGCCGGAAACCCACAGTCCCTGATCCTGGCCATGTGGTTCTTCGTATCTCGACATTTCGGAATTGGCTGCCGTACTGAACACGCTCGTCTTGTGTTCGGAAATCTTACAATTGGGCTAAACTCGATGACAGGGCAGAAACAGCTTCAGTTTGTTCGGTTGGTGATCCACTATTTTTTTCCTGTAATCTTTGCCCGTACTGTTAATAATAGTCATACAGAGAGAAAATTTTCTTCAAATCTTATTCGGTCACTTAATTTTGCTTCCTTGTTTAAAATATTTTGCGCCTCAAGTTTGTTAGGTGACTCAGGAAATAGTTATATCGTAAAATGGCAAAATAATGGCCATGCCATTAATTATTATCATTAACCTTAGCGTTGAGGTCTGACAATAATAATGGGTTTTCATCTTTGTCCCTTAGTCAAGAATTAGCATAAGACATGATTACGCGATACAATTATATCTTTATTAAGACTGTAATATTAATACTCTTTTTGTGCAACCTGATTCGCAGACAGATCGTTGTTTCCTATAACTAGTTCATGTACATAGGCTTTC